AGGGAATCCGTGGATACGCCGCACAATATAGGCGAGGACACTGGAGCAGAATCTACCGTAGACCTCGGAGGCTTGCACCAACAGAAACTTCGAACCCACCCTGTGCAGTCCTATATCTTTGGGCTATATGACCCAAACTCCTTGTGTCGGATTATCAAGGATTCCTGCTACACAGGAGCTTTACCAAGTACTATAATTAAGGGGATACTATATGGAGGAGTTGAGACCATATAGCCAATACGTACAGGCAATGACCACTAAAGCTGGAATCTTCCATTCACGGGGCTTCTGCACTCCACCTGCATGTACCAGGCCCACTATAGCTTATCATTTTTCACAGTTTCTGCCCTAAATCCTATACATTGTATTCGGGCCCAATCTAGACCCTCCAACTCCAAAAACCCTAATCCCAAACTGCTGGTCATGCTTGATTGCATCGTGATTGCATGGCGACGATGATTCGAGTGCATGATGATATGTGTGATGATGGCTGCATAGGCGCGACATGATGAATAGAATGTTTTTGAGTGATAGTGGCCATGCACCAGCAACCTGATTATTGAAGACCCACGTCGATTTATTTGGCTCATCCTTATAACCCGAAACCCTCAGTCCCAAGGAGCAAAAAAGCACTAACCCATGCAGAAGAAACTTTTGGATGTGTGGCGGGCATCTTTTGGTGGGAAGTTGATATTAGGAACATTGATATACAGATTTTTTTGGGTTTTGGGCTCAAGGTTTGGGGCGAAAGGCGCAGGGTTTAAGGCTTTGGTCAAACATCCGCGGCTCAGGGTCAGGGTTTAGGGTGGAAGATTTGGGCTGCAACTTCGATGAGGCGCTCTGCCCCCCCTCACAACACCGGAACCCCTAAAATATAGTCCCCCTTAAGTGGATAGAATATGGTTTTGCGCATGTTATAATAGGATCCCAATATACCCCATACTATATCTACTTATAAGGGGGGCTATATAAACCCTCACCCACGTGAACGAACTTCAAAACCTTACACCTTAATTACGGCTTATACAACAGGCTCCTAAACCCATAATCGGCTTGAGGCGCTCTGCCCCCTGTCACAGCACCGGAACCCCTAAAATATAGTCCCCGTTAAATGGATAGAATATGGTTTCGCGTATGTTATAATAGGACCCCCATATATACCCCATATTACATCTACT